CATATACGAATAGGATACTTAATAAAATATTATCAATTTTTATAAAATACAAATACATAAATATTCATTAAAGATTATCACTATAGGTTATATGCTTAATAATATAAAAAAAGATAAAATATTTATCAAAAATATCAGATTACAAATATGATATTTATGAACCAAAAACACGATAGGATTATATAAACTTTTTTTTTATCTATTTCAATCGGGTTTTTTAAGCAAAGCTCTTAAATATAAAATCAAACATGATTGTTTAGACGATCTGCTTAAAATATTACGCAAAAACTGCTTGCCTGATCTTCCAAAGACAGCAAAAGTATTTTTAAAAACAACGTCTGCAGAATATCACATTTAAAATCCGAAGTTGAAGATGGTCAATTTGTATATTTTGGAATAATTAAGTACCTTCAAACGGTGATTAATATAAATTTACACGTACAAGATACAATAGAGTTATTTATTAATATCGATGGTGTGCCACTTTTTAATTCTAGTAATAAACAATTGTGGTCAATCTTATGCAAAGTATATTTTCAACCTGATATTTATGAACCATTTCCAATAGCAATATATTGTGGCAGTCACAAACCATCTAATATACATAAATATTTAGAACCTTTTATTAAAGAAATGACCAATTTATATCGCGAAGGAATTTCGATAAATGAAAGACAGTTCCACGTTCGAATAAAAGCATTTATATGCGACAGACCAGCACGTTCTTTAATTAAATGTGTTAAGAATCATGGCGGATACAGTTCTTGCGAACGTTGTGATATTCCTGGAATTAGAGTAAATAAACGCATTATTTACCCTTTAAATAATGATCGACAGCGAACTAATCAATCGTTTCGTAACGAAGAAGATCCTTTCCATCATATAGGAATATCGCCACTTATTTTATTACCCGAAATAAATATGGTGACAATGTTCGTGCTTGATTTTATGCATCTATGCTGTCTCGGTATAATGAAGAAAATGTTTGTGGATTTTTGGCTTAACAGTAAATCAGCACAGAAACTTAGTAATGCTGCAAAAGTAATCGTTTCGCAAAATTTACTTCAATTACAAAATCAAGTACCAGAAGAATTTCAAAGGACTACACGATCAATTACAGAAATAGCTAAATGGAAGGCTACTGAATTTCGTTTCTTCTTATTATATTGTGGACCAATTGTTATGAAAAAAGTTTTATCTGAAGATATGTACAAACATTTTCTATTGCTGCATATAGCTTGCCGTATACTGTATTCTCCAGAAACTGCTATAAAGTGCAATGAGCATGCAAAACTTTTTCTTCATTATTTTGTTACTGCAGCATGTCAATTGTATGGTGAGGAAAGTCAAATTTTAAATATGCATAGTCTTGTTCATTTAGCTGATGATGCAGTTAATATGCAATGTTCTCTCAGTGAAATTACTGCTTTTCCATTTAAAAATGCTCTTGGCAAAATAAAATCTTTGGTAAGAAGTGGTAATCGCCCATTAGCACAATTGTGTCGCCGCATTCATGAAAGATTTTTTATTTCTGAAAAAAAGATTATTATACCTCCATCTATTGAAATATTGAAAAAAAATGAAAAACCAAAAGAGTCACGTGTTTATATACAAAAGATAAAATATAAAAATGCTATTATTACAACAAAATCTCCGAATAATACTGTGATTTTATTAAATGGAAAGATCTTACAAATAAACAATATATATACTCATTCAGATGAAAATGAAATTCAAATCAGTGGAATTGTTTTGAAAATTGTAAAACCAATGTTTGAATATCCATGCGATTCATCAGTATTAAAAATGTGGAAAGTAAAAAAAAGATCTGATACAATTGTGACGCAATCTTTATCAAATGTATTGCAAAAAATGGTCACATTTGTTATCAATGAGAATAATGAAGAAAAAATATGTACCATGCCTCTTCTTCACATGTAGGCAAAAATAATAGCTTTAGGTAAAAAAAATTCTATATATTGAGATGAAGATGATATTGTTGATTTTTTTTCGGCATAGACGATTTGCAATATGCGAATTTTTAAGAAATCATATCTGTAAGTGAGATCATGTCTGTAAGAGACACCATGTCTATAAGAGACACCATGTCTGTAAAAGACACCATGACTGTAAGAGACACCATGTCTGTAAGAGACACCATGTCTGTATAAAAGATACCATGTCTGTAAGAGACATCTTATTTGTAATAAACACCATGTCTGTAAGAGACGTCATATCTATAAAAGACATGTCTATGAAGATATACTATATCTATCTTTATTATTTTTACTAAAAATAACAAAGATAAATATAAATTTGAAGTTTTAAATAGTATAATGTACACGCAATACAAATATGATTCTACTATCGTCTAGTTTCTCCTATCAATACATTAAAGTGTGTGTGTGTATGTGTGTGTGTGTGTGTGTGTGTGTGTATGTTGTCACGAGCTCCCGTGAGTCCAGCAACTCACACGAGCCCGGATCAAACAAGGGCGCGGGAATCGCGTA